TTTTGGTCACAAAACTGCAAGTTAAGATGGCCACGTTATCAAACTTAAAGCACAATAAGAACATCACCTAAATGACAGAAACAAGTTCAACTTTTTTAACAAAAGAGAGATGATAGCAGTCTGTTGATAGAAATAAGTTAATTTTTTTGTTTAATCTTAATTTTCTCTTTGGCTTTTGTGTCTCTGTACATATGTAAGTGTATATATTATGACTTACTATTGCAGTGATCAGATGGTGCAATTAAGATCAGAATCCAGAATGCTAGGATCTAAATATCTGTAGATGAAGCCACTGTTCAGTCACTTGGTTAGAAAGATGGATAATACATTGAGGATATTTGTGTTTTGTGATACAATTAAGTATGTATAGTATTATAAAATATATTTATATATACACATTTCTTAAAACTATAAATTATACTTCTTTTCTCACATCATCATCAGTCTAGGGAATCCTGCAAAGGGAAGAGAAGCCTTTCTGTATTAACACTGGGAAAAGTAATTATGCAGACTAGAAGAATATCTCAGGAATTTCCTATGTAGAGATCAGTGTTACTTTCCTTTGATGGCAGACAGAATTCCAGTATGCTTTCTATAAATGAGAGTGGATGAAACTCAGGAGGAGATGTAGCAGTTAACAAAAAAAAATACTAAGACTTTAATATAGAAACATATGAAAATTAACAGTTTCTAGCCCTTTGCATAGACTGAGTTTCTATTTGGCCTTTTCTCTGAGTAGCAGAAAGCAAAAAAACCAATCTCTAAACAATTTTATCAGAACTTTTCATAAGTCAGCAGATCAATAAGGTGGTATGCATGACTGTTTATGAAAGTATAACTAGGCCAGCCTTTCCAAGTGTAGATGAGATTGTTGTTTCAGGAGCACACTGGTAATTTTCCCATCCTTGCCCCAAGTATAATCCAAGTATTTAAGTAGAGTGCCAAATCTTCATGTAGTATACAGCTTTGGAATGCACCCTGCTTCTGACATCCTATGCTAACAGGATTTTGACTAATGTAATTTAGAGCAAGGAAGATGTGATGATGCATCCACACATGATGAATGTTGTGCATGACAAGTTGCCTTCTTAAAAATTTATCTTTTTGTCTTTTTGTAGTCTGGTTTCTTGACGCTAATTCATTTTGGGGGAAATTTGTTCTGTATTCTTTCTTCCTTAGCCTGTTTTCCAAAGAAAGCTAGTCTTAAGTGATTGAGCAGTCTATTCACCGTCCTTCTCTCTCCCTTCAGGTAACTTTTGAATCCATTGATAAATCAGCAGCTAGATAACCCCTCTGTGTGTCCCAATTGAGAGGGAGATCAACTGTTTTTTCCTTTTCTTTGCTCTTCTGTCTGAGTGGCTGCCAGTCAGCACTCTTGCACAGACTGGCCAGGCTACCCTCAGGGTGAGCTGACTGTGCCCAGCTAGCAAGCTGGACAAATACGGACTGGGAGACATGCCGGGGGTGATCCGAGATGTCTGAGGGAACTAAGGGTGTTGTGCAGTAATAAGGAGTATGAGAGGAAGTTGGAGCTATGCAGGAGGACAGGGATCATTGAGTCACTCAGGTTGGAAGAGAACTTGAGTGGTCATCTGGTCCAACCTCTTGCTCAAAGCTGGGTCAACATTGAAGTTCAGACAAGGCTGCTTAGGGCATTGTCTGACTGAGTCTTAAAAACCTGGAAGGTGGGAGAGTCTACAACTTTTTTGTGCAAAGTGTTCCAGTACTGAATTATGTTCATAATGAAGAATTCTTCCCTATATCCAGTCAAAACCTCTGCTGTTTCAGTTTATGAATTTATTTCTCATTCTTCTTCCAGGCATCCTCAATAAAGAGTCTGGCTCCATCTTCTCTATAACCTCTCCCCCAATCCTTCTTTTCTCCAGGATAAAGAACCCTCAGGTTTTCCTCATATAGGTCATACGCTCCAACCCCATAAACATCTTGGTGACTTTTCTCTGGACTCAGGTTTTTCTCTTTCTTGTACTGGGTGACCCAAAACTGACTGCAGTATTCTAGGTGTGGGCTGAGTGCTAAGTGAAGAGGAATAATCGCTTCCCTTGATGTATTGGTTACTGTCGACCTACCACTTTGCTGTTGATACAACCCACTGTGCTGTTAGTCGTCCTTGTTACCAGGATGCACTGCTGAATCCTGGTTAGCCTGCTGACCACCAGACTCTCATGTGCTTTCAATCAGTGCTGCTACCCTGGTAGGCAGTCCCCAGGCCGTCTTGTTGCAGAGACTTAGTCCTTCCCAGATGCAGTGCTTTGCATTTGTCCTTGAATTTCATGAAGTTCCTGTTGGCCCACTCATCAGGTCCTTCTGACTGGCAGCCATCTGCAAACGTGATGAGGGTGCTTTGTGTCTCCTGCTCCAGGTCACTGAGACACATATTAAGAAGGGTAAGTCCCAGGACAGACTCCTAAGGGACTCCGTTTATAACTGACCTCCAGGTAGTTTTCTGGACTTGAGAATATTGTGTTGAGGGGTTTCAGGATTAGAGAGTTGCTAGTATATTGCAGAGACTTGATGAAGAGGATGTAGGACAACAATCTTTAGGAACCAGGCATCTCAGGGAATGGTCCTTTGATGATGGATAAATTTCCCAAGAGCTGAATAGGTGAAACAAGCCATATAATGGTTGAATTTACTTAGAACAAAAGTCTTAAAAATTAGGAAAACCTTTATTGTGAAAAACACGAGATGGTGATAGTTCTTTATTATGGAAGGGTTGTGTGTGTTCAGGGAAGTTGGGTAGCTGTAGTTACACTGCTGAAATTCAAAGAATTATTATCTTGACAATTATTCATTCATACCATTACCTAGAATACTTGGCAGAATTTTCCATCTCAAACCTCTTTTCTGGATACTAGTTAATTAAATTTCCCTTCTTACTTGCATTTTGTCTTTCAGACTAGGGTTTTTTGATTGATAGCTTTGCTTCCACATGTTTGCATAATAAAATGGTGCATGCTCAAATAGGTCTTGATATTGCAAGTCTGACTTGCACGAATAGCTCCTACCAATATGAGTAGTACTACTGACTTCAAGGACTTAATTTGCACAAGTAACAATCGCAGCACTGGGATCTTAATGCATATGTCTGCTTTCCGTTATACGTTCAGCTTTCAGCAACTTCAGCGGAGTTCCATCTCGATTACGGAGGATGAATTTGGCACCAAGAAAGATTTAATTTTTTTTTTCGTGATAAAGCAAAAATCAGTTAAAAAAGCATGCATATGTATTGCTGAAGTCCTTAAGGTAACGTGTACAATGCGGAGCGAGTGATGGCTTAAGTTAGTTTAAGAGGAAACGACTTCAAAGAATCATTAAAAAAATTAATACCAGAAATGCACGGCATCGCGGATTGAGCTCTGGGAGGTGTGGGAACGATGTACTGTAGTGATGTAATAAAACACACATTTAAACAGGCACGGCAGATCAAACACGGCGGAAGAGACGGGGCGAGGGAGAGCTGCAGGAAACGTAATCTTTTTCGTACAGCGTGGCACAAAACCAGCTGTAAGAGCCGTCCCGACGAGCAGAATTGAGAGCAATTTTCACTTTGGGCTGTGTTACTTCCACGCTTCCCGGCAGGCCAGCGACGACGCGCCGCCTCCCCTCGCCTCCCCTCGCCTCCCCTCGCCTCCCCTC